GCTCAGTACTTGCGTGTTCCGCCTGACCCGGGCATTCAGGCCAGTCCGGCTGCCGCTCTAGGTGCTAGTGCGTCTGCTCCCACAGGTCCTGGTGAGGCCGCAGCCCCAGGTGCTAGTGCGTCCGTGCCCCCTGGTACTGAGTCGACTGCAGCACTGCACACCTTCACACTAGACTCAGGTGCTTCTCGCTCCTTCTTTCGTGACCGCACTGTCCTTGAGCCACTCGCTCGGCCAGTTGCTGTCTCCCTTGCTGACCCCTCTGGGGGTCCGGTCATTGCGACCTCCTCCACTGTCCTTCCTTGTCCGGCGGTCCCGTCCGGCACGCTGTCAGGTCTCTACCTCCCCTCATTCTCTACGAACTTGGTGGCGGGTAGTGCGCTCCAGGACGGGGGTGTTCACCAGTTCACCCCTGCCTACGAGCGCGTGACACACTGCACGTGTGCTCGGACGGGTCGCCACCTGGCTACCTTCACTCGGGAGCCGGGGTCGGACCTGTACACACTGACCACTGAGTCCCCTCAGGTTGCTGCGTCCGCGTCTGCGTCTGCGTCAGGTCAGCTGTCCGCCCCCTGCTCGTGTCGCTCTCTGGCGCATGAGACTGTCCTTTGGCACCACCGCCTTGGTCACCCGTCTGTGCAGCGCCTTCGGGCCATGCACAAACGGGACCTTGTTGCTGGTCTTCCCAGGGTGCTCCCTCCCCTTCCCGACTCGCCTGCTCCTCCCTGTATTCCCTGTGTCGAGGGACGGCAGCGCGCCGCTCCTCACTCCTCCTTTCCCCCGACGACTGCTCCCTTGCAGACGCTCCACATGGACGTGTGGGGCCCAGCCCGCGTCCGTGGTCAGGGCCAGGAGAGGTACTTCCTGATTGTTGTTGACGACTTCTCGCGCTACACCACGGTCTTCCCCTTGCGCACCAAGGGTGACGTCCCTGATGTCTTGATCCCTTGGATCCGCAGATCTCGTCTCCAGCTCCGTGAGCGTTTCCGCTCCGACTTCCCTGTCTTGCGTCTGCACTCTGACAGAGGTGGGGAGTTTTCCTCTGGCCTCTTGGAGGCCTTCTGTCAGCAGGAGGGCATTGAGCAGTCGTACACGCTTCCGGCCTCTCCACAGCAGAATGGGGTTGCTGAGCGCCGCATTGGTCTGGTCATGGAGGTCGCTCGTACCTCCTTGAGCCATGCGGCTGCCCCCCATTTTCTGTGGCCGTTTGCGGTCCGATACGCTGCGCATCAGCTCAACCTCTGGCCCCGTGTCTCCTTGCCCGAGACTTCTCCGACACTGCGTTGGACGGGAGAGGCTGGCGATGCGTCGCGTTTTCGGGTCTGGGGATCCCGAGCTTTTGTCCGCGACACGTCCGCGGACAAGCTCTCCCGTCGCGCTGTCCCCTGCGTCTTCCTTGGCTTTGTCCCGGACGCCCCTGGCTGGCAGTTCTACCACCCCACCTCGCGTCGTGTCCTGGCCTCTCAGGACGTCACTTTTGACGAGTCCGTCCCCTACTACCGCCTCTTCCCCTACCGCACTGCCTCGCTCCCCCCCCCGCCTCTCTTCCTCGCTCCAGGTGCTGAGGTACCAGACCCCCTCCCCCCTCAGGGTGCCGCTCCCTCAGGTGTGTCCCAGGTAGACCCGGGTGAGCCTGTCGAGGTAGCTGTTGACTCTCGTCCTGCGTTGGGTGCTGAGCCTGGGGGTGCTGCGTCTGGGGGTGCTGAGCCTGGGGGTGCCGTATCTGGGGGTGCCGAGCCTGGGAGTGCTGAGTCTGGGGGTGCGGAGCCTGGGGGTGCTGAGCCAGGAGGTGCGGAGCCTGGAGGTGCGGAGCCTGGGGGTACTGAGCCTGGGGGTGCTGGGTCTGGGGGTGCTGCGTCTGGGGGTGCTGAGCCTGAGCGTGCTACACCTGGAGGAGCCCTCTCCTCCCAGCAGCTGCAGGAGAGGTACCTCGAGTACTGCCGCCTCCGGAGAGGTGCTGCTGGAGCTCGTCCCGGTGCTTCCCCTCCTACCCAGGAGCTCCCCCCCATTCAGCAGATCCGCGAGTGGTACACACGGCGCTGCAGTCTTCGGAGTGGTGCTCCTGGTGCTGCGGACCCTGGAGGTGGAGCTGCTGCTGGTGCTGAGGACCCGGACGTGGGAGCTGCTGCTGGTGCTGCGGACCCGCCTGGTGGAGCTGCTGCTGGTGCTGAGGACTCGGACGTTGGAGCTGCTGCTGGTGCTGCGGACCCGCCTGGTGGAGCTGCTGCTGGTGCTGAGGACTCGGACGTTGGAGCTGCTGCTGGAGCTGAGGACCCGGGCGGTGGCGCTGCTGCTGGTGCTGAGGACCTGGACGGTGGAGCTGCTGCTGGTGCTGAGGACTCGGACGGTGGAGCTACTGCTGGAGCTGAGGACCCGAGCGGTTGCACTACTGCTGCTGCTGAGGACCCGGGCGTTGGAGCTACTACTGGTGCTGAGGACCCGGCCAATGGAGTCTCCTCTGCTTCCGGCGACGCTGCGCGGCCGCGACCGTACTTCGTACCGCTCCTTCAGCAGGTTCTTGGGCAGGCTCCTCCTCCTTGTCCTCCTCCCTCCATAGAGTGTCCTCCGCCTGTCCAGCCGCAGTCACAGTTACCGCCTTCCTCGCCTCTCCCTGCTCCCTCTCCTTACACTGGTCCCACAGGAGGTCTTACAGAGCGTCGTGAGCCTGAGTCTCGTCCTGCGTCGCCTGTTCGTCCTGCTCGCACTGGTAGTCGTGTCCGTCGTGAGCGTCCTCCTCCTGTCCCAGGCACTCACTACATGACTCTGCGTCCCTCTACTGCTCCTCAGCGTGTCCCTCTATCGTCTCCTCCTGCGTCCTCTTTGCCTGACGTTCCGGACCCTGCGTCTGACCGGTATCGCGCTGAGCACCCTACTGTCACGCGTCTCCTTGCTACTGTTGTCACTGACCCTACCTTTGAGTCCTCTGCTGCGTCTGCTCTTGTCGCTGAGTTGGTTGACTTTGCTGCTGCCTGTCGTCTAGACTACGCTGCTAGCCTTGTTGCTGAGTCTGAGTCTGAGTCTGTCTGTCCTCCGTTCGTCGGGGGTGAGTGTGCTCTTGGCACGGACGTCCTTGAGGACAGACAGGAGGAGTTCCAGTGTCTTGCTGCTGCTTTGCCCCGTCTCGTGTCCTTGCTAGTTGCCCCTGAGGGAGACCCGGATGCACCAGACATCCCGACCCCGTGCACTTACGCTGAGGCGATGGCGGGTCCCTACTCCTCTCAGTGGCAGACAGCCATGGACGCCGAGATGGCTTCCTGGAAGTCCACACGCACCTACGTCGACGAGGTTCCCCCTCCTGGGTCGAACATCGTCAGTGGCATGTGGATTTTCAGGGTGAAGCGGCCGCCGGGTTCTCCGCCTGTCTTCAAGGCGCGTTACGTGGCTCGAGGCTTCAATCAGCGAGAGGGAGTTGACTTCTTCCAGACCTTCTCCCCCACCCCGAAGATGACTACTCTTCGGGTGCTGCTGCACATAGCCGCTCACCGCGACTACGAGCTTCACTTACTTGACTTCAGCACTGCTTTCTTGCAGGGCAGCCTGCACGAGGAGATCTGGCTGCGCCGCCCACCTGGCTTCACTGGGTCGTTTCCTCCTGGTACCCAGTGGAGGCTTCAGCGGCCGGTCTACGGTCTCCGCCAGGCTCCGCGTGAGTGGCACGACACACTGAGGACTACACTTGCGGCTCTTGGGTTCGCGCCTTCTACAGCTGACCCGTCGCTGTTCCTACGCACCGACACTTCGCTGCCGCCGTTCTACATCCTCGTGTACGTCGACGACTTGGTCTTTGCCACTGCTGACACTGCAGGACTCGCCTACGTGAAGTCGGAGCTGCAGAGGAGACACACGTGCACAGACCTGGGTGAGCTGACAAGCTATCTTGGCTTGCGGATCACCCGGGACAGAGCACGGCGCACCATCACCCTGACTCAGTCACACATGGTGCAGCAGGTTCTCCAGCGCTTCCGCTTCACGTACTCCTCGCCTCAGTCCACTCCTCTGCCTACCGGTCACTCGCTCTCAGCTCTGCCTTCGGATGAGTCCGTAGAGCCGAGTGGCCCGTATCCAGAGCTTGTGGGCTGCCTCATGTACCTGATGACCTGCACTCGTCCTGACCTTGCATACCCTCTTAGCATCCTTGCACGCTATGTCGCTCCTGGCCGTCACAGGAAGGAGCACATGGATGCCGCTAAGAGGGTGTTGCGCTACTTGTGCAGTACGTCGGGCATGGGGCTTGTGCTTGGAGGGCGAGACCGAGTTGTTCTCACAGGGCACTCAGACGCTTCTTGGGCAGACGACCAGGCCACTCAGCGGTCGTCTCAGGGTTACACCTTCAGCCTTGGCTCTGGCTCAGTTTCTTGGCGCTCTACGCGCTCTTCTTCTGTTCTCGGCTCCAGTTGTGAGGCTGAGATCTACGCCACAGCCATGGCTGCCCAGGAGCTACGCTGGCTGACCTACCTGCTGACCGACCTCGGAGAGCGGCCTCGTTCTCCTCCAGTGCTGTACGTCGACAACAAGGCTGCCATTGCCTTGTGTGAGGAGCACAGACTGGAGCACAGAACGAAGCACATCGCTCTGCGGTACTTCCTTGCTCGAGAGCTGCAGCAGCGCGGTCAGCTTTGTATTCGCTACGTGGCCACTGAGGCCAACACTGCTGATGTGTTCACCAAGGCGCTTCAGCCTCGTGACCATCAGCGCTTCTGCACTCTACTAGGCCTTGTGCCTACTGGACCTCACTTGCTTACCTCTTGACTTTGCTTGTACTGTGATTGCTATATATATATACCTGCATGTTTACTCTTGCTAGGTTGTGATCACTGTATTTCTTGCTTTGTTATAAACCTGCATGTGAACTGGTCTTGTGACCACTAGCTTGTGCTTGGAATTTGTGTGGAATCCTTGAGGTCCACCCTGAGCTTGTTGTTGCCTTGCTTTGCCTTGACTGGTCTTGTGACCCCTAGGTCTCCCCCACTTTGCCTATGGGGGTGTGTCAAACATTATACATGTTATATTTGTGTAGGCTGTAGTGGGTTAGCCTATAGGGGGGTCACAGCATTAGGGTTTCATATTTGTACTCACAATCTTTGCTAGTTCATCATTCCAGTCCGTTATTACTGACACGAGGAAAAGCGGCGAGGGAGGGAGGGGGGCAGTGCGGTAGGGGAAGAGACGGTAAAAAGGGACCGACTCGTCAAAGGTGACGTCCTGAGAGGCGAAGACCCGGCGCGAGGTGGGGTGGTAAAACTGCCAGCCAGGCGCATCAGGGACAAAGCCAAGGAAGACACAGGGAAGCGTGCGGGAGGAGAGCTTGTCCGCGGACGTATCGCGGACAAGGGCACGAGCACCCCACACCCAGAAGCTCGACGCATCGCCAACCTCCCCCGTCCAACGCAGTGCGGGCGAGGTCTCCGGCAAGGAGACACGGGGCCAGAGGTTGAGCTGATGCGCGACGTACCGGACCGCAAACGGCCACAGAAAATGGGGAGCCGCCGCATGGACCAAGGAGGTACGAGCGACCTCCATGACCAGGCCAATGCGGCGCTCAGCAACCCCATTCTGCTTCGGGGAGTCCGGAAGCGTGAAGGTCTGCTCAATGCCCTCCGCCTGACAGAAGGTCCTCAAGAGGTCGGAGGAGAACTCACCACCTCTGTCAGAGTGCAGACGCAGGACAGGAAGATCTGTCCGGAAACGGCGGCGGAGCTGGAGACGAACTGTGCGGATCCAAGGGATCAGAACAGCAGGGACCTCACCCTTGGTGCGCAAGGGGAAGACCGTGGTGTAACGCGAGTAGTCGTCGACAACCAGCAAAAAGTACCGCTCACCGCCCTGGCCACGAACGCGGGCTGGGCCCCACACGTCCAGGTGGAGGGTCTGCAGAGGAGCCTCTGTCAGGGGGAACGAGGAGTGAGGAGCGGCGCGCTGCCGCCCCTCGACGCAAGGAAGGCAAGGCGGCGCAGGCGAGGCAGGGAGGGGAGGGAGGGACCTGGGAAGACCAGACACAAGGTGGCGACGGTGCATGCCACGGAGGCGTGGCAAGGAGGGGTGACCCAGGCGGTGGTGCCAGAGAAGAGTCTGGTGTGACAGGGAACGACACTCACAGGCGTGGGCTACCAGACCTGACGCGGACACCTGACCGACAGCAGCGACCTGAGGAGACACAGTGGTCAGTGTGTAGAGACTCGACCCCGGCTGACGGGTAAACGTAGCCAGGTGACGGCCGGTCCTGGAGCACGTGAGGATCGCCACACGCTGTCCTCCAGGGGTAAAGGTGTCAACCCACTGATCCTGGATGACAGCGTTGCTCACCAGGTTCGTCGAGAACAAGGGGAGGTGGAAACCCGACAACGAGCCAGACGGAACCGCCGGACACGGGAGCACAGTGGTGGACCGTGCAAGGATCGGGCTCCCCGAGGGGTCAGCCAGGGAGACTGGGACCGGTGCAGGGAGCGGAGTGAGCTCAGTACTGTCTCGAAAGAAACAGCGGGAAGCACCTGAGTCAAGAGTGAAGGTGTGCAAGGCCTCAGCAAGTGCAGCACCTGAGAGAGCAGTCTCTGTGGGTGCTGTACCTGAGAGAGCAGACTCACTAGCAGCAGGGACAGTACGGGAGGGAGCAGCCACAGAGGGCACAGTACCAGAGAGAGCAGACTCACTAGTACCTAGGGCAGCGGGCTCTATACCTGGGTCAGGCGGCACACACAAGTAACAGTCTCCCTCGGCACTAACAGTCAATGCATACATGGCAGCAATAATAGCATCATAGTCAAGAGCAAAGATATCAACACCAGCCCTCATCAGATCAGCCCAGCGGGGGCGCTCAACATCCTCGCCCATCTCCTCACGCCAAGCGTCGTCAAGGCGGGAGAAGCAGCGGTACTGGGTGTGGAACTTCCCACACTTCTGCCCCTTGCGATCACCTGTGCGAATGACATAGGAACAGCGGCCACTGCCCCCCGACGTCCCACGCTGAGCAAGCCACTCACGAAGCTGCTGGGTCGTCTGGGGACGCTGCTGCTGCTGGGAGCTCTGGCCCGAGCCGGTGCCTCCACTCCGACCTCCACCGCCGCCACTACCTCCGCTCCGACTGCCATCGCCGCCACCGCCACCCGCCGCTACCGCCACCGCCGCCACTGCCACCGCTGCTGCCACCACCGCCACCGCTCCCTCCGCCGCCCCCGCCTCCGCTGCCGACCCCACTCCCACCAGCACTCCCGCCACCGCTCCCTCCAGCACCGCCTCCCCCCCCACCTCCCCCACCCCCTCCCCCCCCAGCGCCACCCCCGCCACCCTTGCCCCCCTTGCCCTTGCCGGTGCGGCGCCTCCCACCAGGAGCAGAAGCAGCGCCAGCAGACTCAGCACCAAGGAAGTCAACAGCAGCAGCAGTAGCGTAGGAGGGAGCGAGGGGAGAGGGAGAGCACCCCTCAAAGATGGGGGTGCGAGGAGCGCCGCGAGCAGCACCGACAGCTACAATGCTCTTCTCGGCTGCTAGCAGCTTCTCCTCTAGGAGGGCGACAGTGAGCTCAGTGGGACAGCGAGCAAGGAAATAGTCGCGCACTGAGCTGAGGGTGTCAGGGAGACGGGTGACTATGAAGTGGAGTGTCCAGTACAGTGGAGGGGGGTTCTTAGCGCAGAACTCGGTGGGAAGGGCGGCACGCAGGCGAGTGTCACTAGTGCGAAGGTGGGTGATGAGATCGGCGACTGTAGCAAAGGTGGACAGCTCAGGGAACAGGTAAGGCAGCATGAGGCGGCTAAGCTCGGCTGTGGCAGGTGAGGAGTAGCGAGCAACGACAGCGTCGTACAGGGCCTTAGCGGTTTTGCAGTCGCCAAAATGCTCGAGCTCAGCTAACGGCAGGTGACTGCGAATGGCTAGGCGAGCAGCTGCGTCACGAGTCTGCCAGTGGGAACGGACACTAAGCTCAGCTGCTGCAGGAGGGGCAGGCGCAGCCCCAGACGCGTAGGCATAGAGCGAAACATGCTCTTTGCTATCGCTCAGGAGAAAAAGCTGCAGGTCATCTAGCCAGGTGGTGAACTGCCCAGGGCGGCCCTCAGCATCGAACGACAGCACGCGAATGGAAGCCATAGCGGAAGCACGCTAGAGCAAAGCCAGCAGCGGCAGCAGAGGCAGCAGACAAGGTGGGCAGTGCAGCGGGCGGGTAGCGCGACGGGCGGGCGGCGGGCTGCGCAACGGGCGGGCAGCGCGGCGGGCGGACGGCACTGCGGGCTGCGCGACAGGTGGGCGGCGCGGCGGGCGGGTAGCGCAGCGGGCTGCGCGACGGGGGGGGGGGGGGGGGGGGGGGCAGCGCGGTGGGTAGCGCGGCGGGCAGCGCGGCCAGCGCGGCGGGCAGCACGGCGGGTAGCGCGACGGGCAGGCGGCGCTGCAAGTGGGCAGCACGGCGGGTGGGCGGCGCTACTAGCGGGTAGCGCGGCGGGTACCGCGGCGGGCGGGTGGCGCTACCAGCGGGTAGCGCAGCGGCCAGCGCGACGGGCAGCGCGGGCAGGTACAAGCGCAGCGAGCGGGCAGCGCGACGGGCAGCGCGACGGGCAGCGTGGCGGGCGACGCGACGGGCGACGCGACGGGGAGCGGGACAGGCAGCGCGACGGGTGACGCGCGGCGCGACGGGCAGCGCTACGGGCGGCGCGACGAGCAGCGCGGCGGGCGACGCGACGGGCAGCGCGACGGGCAGTGCGGTGGGCGACCCGCTGGTCAGAAAGGGCGCTAACAAGGGCGCTAACAAGGGGCGCGCAAGGGCGCGAACTAGGGGCGCGCGAGGGCGCTAACGAGGGCGCGCGAGGGCGCTAACGAGGGTGCGCGAGGGCGCTAACGAGGGCGCACGAGGGCGCTACGAGGCTAGGGCACGGGGTAGCGTGGTAACCGCATGCGAGCGGTGGTGGGCCCTAAAAAAACGGTCGGTAGGTCCTAGGGACCTCCTGCTCTGAATACCATTTCAACAGGACTAGGCAAGAATGATGTGCATTGAAAAGGAACAAGAGTACAAGTACCTAACCCTAATGGGTTGTACCCTATATTGTCTACCCCACTACAGCCTACCAACACATTACATATAATCTAACAGTCAGCTGCCATCTCACGTGTTGGGCAGTAGGTCAGGTCCACCTTTCCCTTGTCCACTTCGTCCTTGATGAAGAAGTACAGCAGCGCGATGTGTTTGGTGCGGTTGACGAATCCAGGCTTGTTCGCGATGCGGATCGCGCTCTGGTTGTCGCAGTGCAGGCGAAAAGTCGGCGAAGCTGGGATTTTCGCTTCTTGGAGAAGTTCCTGCAAATAGACCTTCACGAATTGCTGCTGTCGCGGCGATGAATTCAGCTTCAGCCGAGGACAGGGCAACCAGCTCCTGATTCTGCGAGTTCCACGAGATTGGTCCTGTTGGCTCGAGGCGAAACAGGAACCCTGTCCTGGACCGTCGATTGTCGGGGTCTGCTGCGTGATCGGCGTCCACGTAGCCGATGAGATTGAAGAATCGGGTTGGCACTGTCGAGTAGCAGAGCCCAATCTTGGGCGTGGAGATGGAGAACTGTGGGGCGCGATGAAGATCCAGAAGGTTCTGAGCCGTTGGTTTGCGGGAGTACTGAGCCAGTTGGCTCGTGATGCAGGAAAGGTCAGGTCTGCATGTCACTGAGGCAAAGAGCAGGCAACCCAACTGCTGTTGGTAAGTCTGAATTCCAGCAGGAGATAGGGCTTTGTTGTCAGGTTTGTGGTTCGGTCCGGGAGTGCGGTATGGGGTGGAAAGTGGTGCAGGCGCAATGTTGAAGCGTTTGCCAAGTTCCTCTGTGTACTTGGCTGCTGAGAGATGAATGGCTTCTGGCGCATAGGAAATATTAAGGCCGAGGAATTGCTTCACGTCGTGGTTGCAAGTAATGTCGACGTGCGTCGCTAGGTTCTTTTCGAATTGTTCGAGCAGCTCGTTGCTCGACCCTGTGTAAAGTAAATCGTTGACGTAGACCGTGAGCAGAATGTATTCGCCGCGTAAATCGCGGCGATACATCATGGGATCGTGGGGCAGTTGCTTGAAGCCTATCTCAAGCAGGATGTTGTGCAGGTACTGCTGCCAGAGCCTTGGCGCCGGCTTGACCCCGTAGAGGGACTTTTGCAGCTGACCCACACGCGAGTCCCCTTCGCCGTACATGGCTTCTCCACGTAAATTACCGCATCCACTAACACATATAAGAAAGCGTTCTTCACATCAATTTGGCGAAGCGGCAAGTGCCTTGCGGCGGCGATGGCGAGCAGAATTCTGACTGAGGTGTGACGGCTGACCGACGCGAACGTCTGGTCGAAATCAATGCCGTGCCTCTGATCGGAGCCATGCACGACCCAACGCGCCTTGAAGCGCTCGATTGTGCCGTCCGCTGCGGTCTTCACGCGGAAGACCCATTTGCGGAATAGATTCCGCGGATTCTTGGGCTCGATGACACGTGGCGCTGTTGAGGTGGCGGTGTGACGTCCTAGCAGTTGCAGCCCTGAGACGGTGCTGTCGTGGCGGTGCTGCGGAATTACCTCCTGCACGTGCGGCGGCGGCGGCGCTGTGCCTCCGTTGCTTCCTCCAGCTCCGCTGAATCCTCCTGCTGGGGGGTCTTCATCGTCATCGTCGCTGCTGTGACGATCGCTCCCCGCGAACTCGCCTCTGGTGTCTTGCTCCAGGATGGTTGCAGCAGCTTCGTCCTCAGGCGTTGCATAGCTGTGCCCGTCGTTGGCATAGACGCGGTTTGCATTTGTGCGTTCGTCTTCGCGGAACTGCTCAAGAAAAGGCCGCTCGTAGAAGATTACGTCGCGCGCGTTTGTGACTCTTATGGCTTGTAAGGTCGAGAATGAGCCACGCCTTGTGTTCGTGACTAATGTCGAGGTGGATTCCCCAGCACGCGCGGCTCGCGAATTCGCCGATGGTTGATGTCGGCGGGCGGTATTGCACCATGCATCCCCATACGTGGAGCATGGATGTGTCGCCCCTCGTGTGTGTCCACTTTAGATGCGGGGACAGGTTGCCGGTGATAGCGGTGGTTGACAGTAGATTGTGCACGCGTCCGGCGTGGTGCATCGCGTACGTCCAGTACGTCGGGGGAAGCTTTGATTGTTTCAGCAGTGCCCTCACCTTTGTCATGAGCGTGCGATTTGTGCGTTCGGCAACACCATGCTGCGGGTGTGCGTAGGGAAGGGAGATATGGTGCTCGATCCCCTTTTGTGCTAGATAGTCCTGCAGCCCCTTGCTGCGAAATTCCGCTGCGCCGTTTGAGTGCCAGGTCTTCATCTTCTTCCCAGATTGCCGCTGCACGTGCGCCAGCCAGAGGCGGAAGACCTCGTATGCCCTGCTGCGAAGATCAACGTTGACGACCCATACGTAGCGGGTTCCCGCATCAATGAATGTGAGCGTGTATTGCTCATCGTTAAGCCCGCAGTGGCCGACGACGAGAAAATCGTTGTACACCTTGTGCAGCTTTGGGTAGCGCTTGGTTTCTGGTTCTAGTAAGGGGAACGGTTGGTGGCATAGCGTAGCTTCGGGCAGACGGTGCAGTTGCGCGGCTGTGACGTGCTTCTCACTTCAAAGCCGTCAAGGCGCAAGAGAGCGCCAGGTACGAATACGTCTGCGTCGATGCAGTTTTTCAGCGTTGCGCGCGAGGGGTGACCGAGGCGCTGGTGCCAAAGGTCATCGTTGGCGCGGAATCCGGATGTGCGCATATAGCGTGCGTGGACTACTTCGGGGTCTTCTTCTGGTACCGGGGCAGGTTCTGCTGCTTCTTCTTCAGCTTCTTCTTCTTCGTCGTTCAATGTCGTCAGCATTAGCGTAAAAACTCTCTGTCGAGAATCACAGAGAGTGGGATGTCCGTCCCGGGAATTCTTCCGGGGATGAAGGTAGGTTCGCGCGGCTCGGGATCGGGTCCATAGACTTTGCGACGTGGGGTCAATGGTTCGTTGCCCAATCGATGGTGTCCCAGGGATCGCGGTACGGCTGGATATCAGGCGGGGGTAGAGTAGGTGTGGGAAGGTGTGGGGGACGGCCGAGAGGAACAACGCGCGGTTCGGCTTCTTCTGCTCCCCCCCTTTGTTCTTCTCGCCAAGCACTCCAGCCTTCACCGGAAGTGCCCCAGCCGCTTCTGTCGCCGCCGGTTGCGGTGCCCATCCAACAGTGTCGCTCGTTCCCCATCCGCCAGTGCTTCCCCACCCCCCTTCATTGGAGGCGCTTTCCTCCTCTGCTGCCCAAGCAACGCATGTAAACGTCCTACGCGCTTCAGCGAGGCTTTTTCGGCGAAGTTCTTTGGCTTCGTGGCGCGCCAACTCTTCTTCTTGTTCCACGGTGAGTGTCGTCATGGGGTCGCGCCAGTGAGGGTACAGCTTCAGGAAGTCAGCTTTCGTATAGGGACGCGCTACCCCCCGCGCACGTTGAAAGTTCCGCGGCACTGTCCTCGCAAGATGCCTTCGAGCCACTGGGAGGGGGAACCTGAAAGGGGGTTCTGGTTGGGTCCGAAGACGCCACTCCTAGCTCCAGTGCCGACATTCCTTCTTCGGGCGACGCGGATTGTTCGGCTCCAGTAATGGTGGCGAGCCCCCGGCCGGCGATTGCGCTGGTTGAGGCGGTGGGCGTATGGCGGTCCCTGAAGATGCCGTCTGGGTCAGGGTCATGCAGCGCTAGCTCGCGTGGGTGTAGATGATGAGGCACCCACGGCCTCCCGTCAGGATGCTTCCAGTCCGAGCCGTGGATGTGTTCGAAGCGCAGTGGCACGAGGTCAATCAGCTCGTTCGAGTTGCCGCCGCAGTCAGGAATATTGAAGTCAAGAATGTACACTCCATTCTCGGAGTGTGCTCGTCCGATTGGCCTACGCGCTTTGGTCGGGGACGAGTAGTGCAGGAGGATGTCGCTCGTGCGGGGGTCCGTACTTTATTCGATGCCGCAATCCATGAGTTGAGCGGCTGAGAGAAGATTGTAGCCCAGGTTCTGGACTATCAGCACATCATTCAGAGTGATGTGCGTGCGGCTTCCGCGTGCTTTGAGCACGACGATTCGGGTATGGTTTGCCACGGTGACGTAAGTGAATGTGAGGGTCAGGACGGCGTTGGAGACAAAACGCTCAGATTCGACCACGTGCTGCCCGCAACAGCTGTCCAGGTACCAGGTGTTGTAGCGCTTGTTGTCGTCACGTGCGAGCAGCGCCAGTCGCGGTGTCACGAATCAGGTACGTGCGGGGGGCTTTCACACAGCGGGACTGGGAGATTCCAGTCCTGGGCGTCGTTGTCGTCACTATAATCGTGGCGGGCGGTGAAGTGATTGTTATCCGTGAACGCTTCGATTGGGTGGCGTGCTGGCTCGGGTCACGGCGTATGCACGCGGCGACGGCGAGATCCATTCGTTTGTGTCATGGTTTTGTTGCCGATGACGTTGCGGGCGGGAGCAGGCGGTGACAGCTGCTGCGGCTGCTGATGCTGAACCGTTGGGTTCAGGTTGCGCGATGGGGGTTGATACCCCTGGGTTTGACGCGTGAAACTCCGTGCGTCTTGTCGGCCGGACCAGGTGCTCGGATTGGTCTGGCGAGGGCGAGAGTGGAATTTGCATCGCTCTGCCAAATGCCCGAACGTTCTGCAGATTTTGCAGTAAAGGCGCCTCGGCCGTCGCTCTTCGGTGTTGTCGGCGTAGAAGGCGAGAGGTTCTCGGTCTCGTCGCGGCGCTGGTCGCTTCTGGTCCATGTCTCTCTGTTCGACAAGAAGGGCGGCGCATAGGGCGGCTTCCGAGATAACCCTCTATTGTCGGAGTAGCGCCTTGCAGGGCCGCCACTCTGGGCCGAGCCCTTGGAGCACGATATTCACGAAGATCTCTTCGAAGATGGTGCTTCCCAGTTTCGCAATTTGATCGCTTGAGCTCCGACAAAGATTGATATAGCTGTTGGCCTCCTCCCCTGGGGTCATTTTTGACTCCAGTAGTTGCTGGAGCAGGCGGCTCGATACAACCGAATCTTTCTGTTGATATACAACCGTTTAGGTGTCGCCATGCGTCAAGGGCTGGAGCAGCTGTTGTCTTGTACGACCAGATGCTTAACTGGTCCGCCGGCGACATGTTTCGCAGCAAGACGCCGTACGCCATCAATGACTCGTTGTAGTATTGTGCCCTGGCATCAGCGGTGTCTTCAGCAGGTCTCGCGTAACTCCCATCGAAGTAATGGAATATCTGTCTGTTTTGCAGCAGCAGCTCCAGCTCGAAGCTCCACGTATAGAAGTCTCTGCCGTCAAAACACACACTTGTTATGCCCAGGAACCTTGATTGAGCTGAGAGAATTGCTCTTTTCGAGGGAGAAGGTGTGCGGGGCGATATCGCGGCCATTTGAGGCCGGTTGAGAGGGTTGGGAAGATGTTCCCGCGTCGCCATTCCGCAATGTTTGGAGTCCTTGCTCCAATGTAGAGAGTCGCTGAAGCAGTTGTGCGAGGACGGCGGTTCCAATCGTCGTCGTCTCCTTGTTTGTCACAACTGGTTTGGGATGCGTTTCAGCGGTCAGATTCGTCTGACTTCCAGATCCTCCGACCATTCTTACGCGAGAGCGTGTGCCGGACGCCACTTTTTGTTCGTCGAAGATTTTGGTAGTGGCGTTGCGAAGGATTCCCGAGTCACTCTCATACCATGCTGCGATCAAAGAAACTAGATCGTAAACAGGATCACCTCGGAAATGTTCGCACGGAGTGTGTGGTAGTGGTCGGCCCTTGACCTCAAATCAGAGTGAATGTAAAATGATTGAGATGATTAAAACATGCAAATACAAGCATTTATATAGTAGTACAAGGGAATATCAATCGTCCTAGCTAGCCATGTACTCTAAGGGGTACATTCCCTTGTTCAAATCCAAACCCGGCCGTGCGGCGCGTCTCAGTTACAAAACTGTTCCCGTGCTTTTCCTACCTTATGCAGCTGCCGATGCCGTTTGATGCCGACGGTGCAGATGCTCTTCGCGTTGGTTCAAGTCATTTCTGACTCTTTGTCTCCAGCCTCGGTACTGTGTGCTTCGCTTGCTGCTGTTAGGAGTGCACAGTGTTCTTTCTTAATTTATCATTCGTAACACGTCACCAAATAAATTCCATATATATAGGAAAAAAAATCAGATGGGAAGGTTGTTGTTGTTGTTGTTGTTGTTGTTGTTGTTGTTGTTTTTGTTGTTGTTGTTGTTGTTGTTGTTGTTGTTGTTGTTGTTGTTGTTGTTGTTGTTGTTGTTGTTGTTGTTGTTGTTGTTGTTGTTGTTGTTGTTGTTGTTGTTGTTGTTTTTGTTGTTGTTGTTGTTGTTGTTGTTTTTTTTTTTTTTTTTTTTTTGGTTGCGAAGCAACCTTTTACGATCGATTTTGCCAAATTTTATTTTCATATTTATTATTTCTTAATAAAATATGAAAGTAAAATTCATAAACTACAGTACCCTTCCTATACTGTGTGCATGGTGAGTGGTTGTGAACAGTATTAACATGAAAAACTACACATACATGCACACAATGACACACACACACACACACACACACACACACACACACACACACACACACACACACACACACACACACACACACACACACACACACACA